ACAAAGGCAAAGCTAAAATCCCAGAGCATGAGACAATGATGCTTCAAGAAGAACCAATAATAGAAAATACTATCCAAAACCAAGAAAATGAATTTATGGATACCACTCTTATTGATCTGAATAGAATAACTTATGGAAAAAATTGGAAACCAATTACTGCCTTTCCATATCATAAAAGTTAATACGACCAAGCTCCTCACCTTGGAGCTGTGCAGCCTTTTATGTTAATAAAAATGCTGAAAAAGAACGAGGAGTTCCTCAATTAGTTATCTTTTTTAATTTATATTGATGTTTATAATGACCAGCCTTTCCACACTTATAACACACTGGAAGTTTTCTTTTATGTTTTGTGTTGGGAGAAAATTTAGTGATAAGTTTTAACAAAATTATATAATATAATCAATTATGATTCTACATCTTCAGATTCTTCCTCCGACTCTCATATAGAAAATATATATGATGATGATCTGTTATGGATAGACTCATGTGATTCTTCCAATACGTCAACAAACTCGGAATCATCTTATCCAATAAAAGATAATGATTGTAGTTGTCCCATACCTTCACATAATCTTCATACACTTACCCAAGAAGATAATTTCATCTTAGACATTATTGAAAAAATTATTGATCCAGATGAAAAAAGATCTGTCATTACTCAATTCATTTCGATAACTAAAAATAAAGCAAAAACACCTCCCATTAATAAATCTCCTGATGAATACAATTTTGCTTCGATAATGAAGAGAGTAAGTGAACGTACTTCTCAACAAAAAGAATCTTCAATTTCTGATTTAAAACAAGAAATCAAAGAAATTAAGAAAGAAGTATCTCAATTAAAAAATAGAATTAAAATTTTAGAATTACAACAAGTATCTCCACAAGATACTAATACAGATGAAATAGATTTTGATCAAATCATAATGGAAGAACCAGAAGAGATACCAGAAACATCAGAAAAGAAACCTTATCTGGTAACTCTCCCTTCAATTAATTTAATAGATAAAATACTAATTCAAAAATAGTTTGTCCACGTCAAAATCATAGTTGCAAAAGATTATAGTTTTGAAACTTCAGCCCTAATAGATTCAGGCGCTGACTTGAATTGCATCAATGAAGGTTTAGTACCTTCAAAATATTTTGATAAGACAACTCAAATATTGAATACAGCAGATGGAAGTAGATTGTTTATAAACTATAACTTATCAAATGCTTTTGTTTGTAATAACCATCAATGTATTAATACACCTTTTATTATGGTTAAAGGGTTAAGCCAAGTGGTTATACTTGGAGTCCCATTCCTTACCCTTTTATATCCATTATCCATAGATCAAACAGAAATATCTTCTAATTATCAAAATGTACCAATACACTTTGACTTTATACATAAACCCAAATTAAAGGAAATAAATAATATCAAAAGTCAATTACAAAATAAAGAAAAATTTCTTTGCACGTTGAAGCAAGAAATTAAATATAAACATATTGAAGAACAAATAAACAATCCTTTGGTTCAACAAAAAATACTATGCATACAAAAACAAATAGAAACCTCTATATGCAGTGA